GGGCTGAGCTGCCATCTCTTTCATGCTGTCGGCACAGGGCACTGGGGAGGGACATAGATGGGCTTTTGGCGTTTGAGGCTAACAAAACAATCATATATCTTACTTAGGTTCTTCAGCGGTTAGTGAGTGGCTTCTAGAATAAGCAGGGTTTCCTCAGGTATCAGTAGGCCTTTTGGTGACATCAGATAGAAGGCAAGAAAAGGTGGATAGCTGTTTTCTGTAAGAAGAAAGGGCAAAGGGCACTGAACGTACGTCTCCCTTGAACCTTGGCACCATCAAGGCTGAAGAGTCAAACCATTTGTAAAAATGGACACTGTCACTAAAAATGCAGACACTGCAGACATTGTAGGGTCACCCTACAATGGATGAGGGCTACTGAGCCTTTGTCTGTTTTTCAGTAGATGCTGAGGTCCATTCAACTTGGGCACGCCATGAAAGCGCATCTAGAAGACGACTCCTAGTGTTTGAGAGAAAATGTGGGGACGTTAAGTATCTAATCATAAGAAAGTAAAATCGGCATTCATTTTGCCATGCGCAAAAATGCATTTCTAGGTTATCAAAATTTTGACTGCAAGTATTGCCTTATTCCTTTTTTTTTCCTGTTGCTTCAGTGAAATACCTAAGGCTGGGCACTTTATAAAGGAAGGAGGGCAATTACATCTCAGTGCTTTGGAAGCCCAAGAATATGAAGTCAGCCTTGACTTCTGAAGAGGGATTCATTGCATGGCAGGAACATGTGTGAATCACCCTATGGATAAATAGGAAGCAAGAGACCAGGGAGGGGCTAGGGTCACTCCTTTTTGACAACCCATTTTCTCCGGAATTAATTCATTGCCATGAGACCTGACTCTCTCCCACAGACAGAAACATTTCATGAGGGTGGAGCTCTTATAACCTAGTTACTGTCTCCTGGACCCAATCTCTCAAAAAATGTGTCTGTCCGTCTGTCTGCCTGCTTGTCTGCCTGTCTGTCTGTGTGTGTTCGGACACATGTATGTGTGGAGGTCAGAAAACAACTTTCAAAAGTTGGTTCTCTCCACCATGTTGGTCCCAGGGATCCAACTCAGGTCATCAAACCTTGTGGCGGGCACCTTCACCTGCTTAACCATCCCACCTCTTAATGAACCTGCGCCTTCAAACCTGAAACATTGGGGACCAAGCTTCTCTCAAATGAGACTGTGTGGGACAGGCCATATCCAACCCAAGTGTCTCATGGCTGCTCATGGAGCAGAGGAGACTTCCATCTGTGTCTTTCCTCATTACCCATCGGCTCCTCAGGAAGGGATCTCCTATTATCAAACTCAGTAGAAACAGGTGGAGACTGTCCAGATAAAGGGAGCAACCCTGAAAACTGATTGGCTGTGCTTTAGGCCTTCCTTCTCACCCAGCAAAAGCTCGGGATACAAGGCAAGGGTAAACCTGGAGGCTCTCCAGAGAGGAGGGGACATACTGTGAAATTGGAGATTTTTCCTTTTTCCCTTGTAGATGTTGGATTAGCCTTTTCATGGGCTACTCTGTCTGGGAAAGTCCTCAGGGAAGCCAAATGAGTGGCTAAACTAGGAGCTGTTTGTGTCCCAGGACTCTTGTTCATGCCCTTTCTCTTGAGCAGTAAATTACTCTTGACATTGAAAAACATGCTTTGGTGACATGTTCCTGATGGCCATGGGAGGAACAGAGTCTGGATGTCTGAGCACAGAAGTCATGGCTCCAAGTTCAGGCTGACCCACCTGATGCCAAGTTAGTTAGTATGAAGAATGTCAATGACTGGCCCTTGGGGTGACCAGAAAAAAGATCCCATGACTCACGGTGCGTTCCTTGGTGCACAACCATGTCTCCCCAGCTTGAGCTGATGCACTCCTGACCAGCTGCTGAGGAAACTGTCACTCCTATGAACCAATGTGACAGTGATTGGACACTGTGTCCCTTAGTGGCTGTCTCTCTATTCACAAAGAAACTACATTGCTCAAGGGCCCACCCATCTTCAGGATGCAGCTGATGCAGAGCTCAAATGTCCTATCTCACTTTTCTCAAAAGGAGAGCCCTGGCTGTCCGGCCACATGAAGTAGTGGTGATCTGTGAGTTAGAGTCAGTCTCCTCAGCTCTGCTTGCCTCAGTTCCATCCGGTGCCAAGACCCTCCGAGTTTCCGTGTACAACTCTCCATCATAGGGCTTGTTTCCAGGACACCTAACCTAGGTGACCTCTTTGTGGATGCTGTTCCTCTAGGTTGGCTTGGCTGGGTGTGGCATTAATATCATCCTAGAAAAGGGATTTGACTTGTATTGGGAAATAAATCTTGTTGGATATAGGCCTCTGACACATATTCGACCTCATGACCACAAAGGGCTTCTAAGGAAGGCCTAGGGAGAGCCAGCAGCATCAGAAGTATCAGAACTCTGCATCTCTAGAAACTTCCACAGGAAGTAAACTCAAAGGCAGGTTGACAATGTGTTTCAAGTAGCATGAATGTGTGGCATGCCAAGGGGAACCGCTGGGGAGGAGATGGCTGTGAGATTAGCGGAGACATTAGAAAAATTTGGAAACAGGACAAAAAGAAAAGAAAAACCAATTGAGGCAAAGGGGACTTTCTTTAAAGATGGGATACTTCGTTTAAATTTCTGGATTAGTTACTTTTAAATGGTTTACTTAAAAAGAAAGAGGACATCTGTTAATTTGCTGCAAGAGGCTTTGTAATTGGAGAGTTAATGGCCTTCTATGGGATAGGAGGGTGGCTATAGATTTGTGCAAATTAAACCTCATGACTTGTGCCTGCTACAAGAAGCCCCACCTGTGTGTACAATGTACTTAAAGGATTAGGGCACACTTTGAAATTATGATGTGTTTTACCTAAAGTAGTCGTCTTCCCCCTTAAGCTTTTATTTCCTTGAAGGAAGGAGGAGACCACCAGCTCTCACAGTCCATCAAGCCCAGGAGGTACTTTGTGAGGCTTCAGGAAGGTTTAAGTGCAGGGGGATGGGGTGTGCTGTTTCCATTTTTTAGTGCAGTAATAAAACTTACCTTCAACACTTGTGATCCCATTTCAGAGGAGACTGGGGCACTCAGGGTAGGATGACTGCAGACTTGTGACTCTGTTTCTGAGGCATCGCTAACACAAGGTTTACCGGACTTTGAACACAGGTGGCAAGTTTAGGAGTGAGAGGGTCAGGGAAGACAAAAATAAAGGGACTTTTTGAAAACTGTGGTCACCCTGTTCTCCCAGAGTCACTAGATAACTGAAAAGTCTTCATTTACACACAAGGTGTCCCAAGACTCAATATTTTTATTTTTGAGGTCTTTTGTTTTTGAGACAGGGTCTCATGTAGTCGGTTGATCTCAAACTCACTATGTAGCCAAAAAAAAAAATGGCTTTGAACTTGTGATCCTTCTGCTCCCACCTTCTGAATGCTGGGATTACAGGTGCAACAATCACACCTGCTGCAGGTGGTTATCCGGCACAGGCAGAAACAGTTTTTCTCTCCTCTTGATTTACCAGGGTGGGAGGAGAGGCCACTTCTAAAGGAATGGCCCTCATTGGCTGTGTGCCAATGCCACTTAGATTGATGGCCCTCGGGGTTTGTCAGGCCAGGCCAGCCAAAGGTGCTGTAAGAACACGGTCACAGGGAAAACACACTAAAAGGAAAGTGTTTGTAAGAATCTAAAAACCACACACAGGTGTTTAATAAAGACATGGAGGCTTTATTTTAAAAAGTCATATGTTGCAAAAAAAATACATAGAAAAATAAAGCTTGATTAGAAGTGCTTTACCAAACTTCAAGTCACAGAACTTTTATGTCACAGATCAGAGTTGGATTTGTTGACTTATGAAACAGGATAGTGATCAGTCACCCCAGTGATGTGGTCCAAGGCACCATCCCATTTACATGTGCAAGACAAAAGGTTACGTTTCAATATTCTCCACCAGTTCATGTATGGGCGAATGACTAGTTCCAGTGGTGAGAAAGCAAAATGGAGTCAAAATAATTTCAAGCACAGCCTTCCCTTCCCTTCTCTCTCTCTCTCTCTCTCTCTCTCTCTCTCTCTCTCTCTCTCTCTCTCTCTCTCTCTGGCCACACACTATGCACTACTGTAGCTTAATCCTAGGGAAAGTGCATGCCGCAAAGGATTCAATTCAGAATGAGAGAGAACGCCAACACTGACTGGTGATTTAAAAAATAATGATAATTAAAGGAGAAGTGAGCTGGACTCCTCTGCCTTTCGTGTGATTTAGCACTGTGGTCAGCGGCAAGGAGCAGACAATACTTTTAACATGGTGCCTGGGCTGTTTAGAAACAAAACAAAACAAGTGGCCAAATTTCTACCAACTCCCTTTGGCAGTTTTGCCACCACCAGTAAACTGGCCCGTTTAGAAGGAGGAAATTAAAACACATCTCACGGCACAGAATAGCGTGGTAGGATAAAGGGATTTCCTGGCCCCAGAAAGCCTCGTTTGTGGTAGTTGTGCCCCACCGCTCATGCCTCCCCATTATCAGGTTACCTGAGGTAACAGGATGGAAATGGAGGAGCAAACATTTCTCCCTTTCACTCTTTTGCCATCTACACAGGTCTCCAAAGCGTTTCCAGCTCATCTGTGACGGGAGCCGCAGTGATGGTGCGTTTTGAAGACAGTTTCTCCTTCCTTAGAACATCTTCCTGCAAAGCCACCAGCCCCTTGCTTGCTGGTTGGCCTGGGCTGACAGCCAGGACCTGCCCATCTCTCCTAGAGCCCTCAGCAGTACCAAGCCTTCGTTTTGTACTGGTTTCCCTTCTGCAGGAGAGCTGGACAGCACTCTGCCCCAGGACCCCAATGCTGTAAGCCTCTGAACTGCACCGCCTCGCCCACAGCACAAAGCCCTGTGAAGCTGCTGTGATCTTCAACTCTCGTGTCTTTAAAAAGGAATTTGATGTTGAGTGGTTTTAAAGGAAAGAAACAAGAGTTGCTAGGTATTTTTTTAATTATGTCTTTTGGTCAATTTATAATCTGTAGTTATGTTTTTTTCTTTTAACCAGGAAAGATAAAACTTGAGGTGGGGGGAGCAGATCTTAAGCTAAATAAGATAGGCATGCAGAGATTAAAAACCTGAACTGAGATGTCCTGTAGGAAAGAAAGAGAGAGAGAGAGAAAGGAAGATCCTTTGTTATAAAATGACAGCACCTCTGGCATAACCCATTGTGAACTCAGACCTGAAAGCTCCTCGATAAGTTCTCTGTGAAGGCAGGAAGGGTGGGCAGAGGCCTTTTCTTCAGTCAGTCATGACTGAGGCGCTCACCTGGAGTGTGGAAACCCCCTAGGCCCTTGCCTTGGACAGGAAGAGCCTGTTTCCAGGCCCACCCTGGCAGGCAAACTGTTTACACAGCTTGTCTTAAACCCCTCACTGTGTGCACCCTGCTCCACTCAGGCTGCCTGTAAATCCTTGAATTGGTTCACTACCGCAAACAGGGTAAGAGGTCAAACATTCTACCCCCACCCCCTTTATGCCCCATGCCAACCTGCCTCAATCGCTAAGGTCTGTGTTTTCTTTTTCTTCAAATCTTCCATTTACCTTCACTTTTACAAGGGCAGAGAGAAACCCTGGCTGTTGTTCAAGGCCAACAAGAGACTTTTTAACCCAAGTTTAATTCAAGAGGACACCCTTTTCTAAGGGGTCCTTCTTCCCATCGCTTTAGTCTTTTTGTGATACTCAGTTATGGGAGAGCATGGAGTTGCAGTGACAGAATTCTTAGGAATGATGTAGCCATTGCACCCAAAGTCACGCTGAGGTCTAGAATCAGATGAACTTGTCTGGCCCTCTCCAGACAGGGAACAGAGAGCAGTGACCTACAGAACTGGAATTGTGACTAGATACTAAAAATAGCCACTGCCCGGGCTCTTTCACTGACCCCACCAGAGAAGAATCGGAACATTCCCTAGGAATCCCCAGCCATTTGGGTCTGCACACGTCTTGTTACCATCTCCTTGACCTCAGTCATTCCTGCTTTTCCCCCAGACACTCCCGGGGAAGGCAGTTTCTGATCTATGAAGTTGTCATATGAACTGTTGTTACCAGAAAGTTGGATGCCAGCTGCCCAGACAATAGAGGTACGGGTAACAGGGGTAGCTGGTGTACATGGAGACCAATGAGGAGCTGGCTAGACTGTCCTCTTTCAGGACTGGCAGAGACAGAGGTGAGCTCTTCTCCAAGACCCCCAGGTCTTCCGCCAGTTGTTTTCGCTTGGTCTTATAGCGTCTATTCTGGAACCATATCTTCACTTGGGTCTCCGTGAGTTTGAGGTTCTTGGCCAGATGAGCCCTTTCAGGGGCAGACAGGTACTTTTGATGGCTGAACTTCCTCTCCAGCTCAATCACCTGAGTGTGAGAGAAAGCAGCCCTGGAGCGCTTCTGAGGCGGCTTGGGGACCTGGGGGGTGCTTGATAAATCGCCTGGAGTGTGTTCACAGTCCAACAGATAAGTCGCGAAATGCCCATCTGGAGAAGAGCAGAGGGGGCGGAGAAGAGACACAGTCACTTGTTAACCCGGAATTCAAACCACCTTTCTGCTTTTGGCCAGCGAACAAACGGCCACTGTCATTTTGGATACATTACACTTTCTTTTTTTCCCGCCTGACTATGGAACTACCCCAATGGAGAAATGAGTAGGTTTTTATGCTATGTATTTGCTTCTAATAATCAGTGTGAACTAAGCTTAGGGCTTAGTGTTTTACACTTAAACTTTCTGCGGTGTTGTCTTATGCCAAAGAAACCGGGAATCTGGATGTGTGTAGCAGAGAGGTGGGAGGCGCCAACAAGGAAACCGAGGCATCACGGGGCATTTAAGTGGGTGACTAGGGCTTTTGGGGATGAGCCTGGTGGCCTGGGCTGGTAGCCAGTTCATCTTCGGCCCCAATCCCCTTTCTGTAACTGCCGCTTAGTAACCCGCATAAGAAGCAATGGGGGAGGGGGCGGGACCTGGCGGCAAAAGCTGAGTCGATGCTATTCTAAACGCTTAAAGGAACGACCATAATCTTATAGCTCGTGGAATGTAAACGCAAAGGGAGCCTGTGGGTGGGCTTGATTAATGAATATTAATGGATTTTTTGTTTATTGTTTACTTCTAGTCGCCAGCCAGCGGTAACTGGCTGGAGTCGCTGGAAGAGAGTCTAGCAGATGGTGAAGTTGTTAGCAGCCCTCAAGGTTGATGCCCAAGGTGGCTCTGTGCCGAGGACGGTGAAGTCCTTCCGGTGGCCATGGGCCCCGCATGCCTGCATCCAGAGGTGGGGACCATCAGTTTGGGAGTAGCCCTCTCCAGTGTATCGCACCCGCCTCCAGGTCTATTCGGCTTACCTGTCTCGCGTTCAGCCAGCGTCTCCGTCGGGCTGGATCGGATATTTGGCGGGTCCGCTAGAGCCACGCCGCGACCTCCTGTTTCCTCCGGGTCTGACGCGGGGTCACTCCTCGGGTCCGACTGGCGCTGGTGCTGCGGGCTGCCCGCGTGTCCCCCGCGCCGCTCCGCGCGGTCCCGCAGGATGTCCTGGATGAGGAAGGAGGTGAGCCGCTTGGACTGAGAAGGTGGCGCTGCCCAGGGACTGCGGCCACCCGCCTCCACCCGCACCTCTCGAGACTCAGCCGCCCTGAGCATCCCGCCTTTGCTGCGCGCCGGCTTTTGCTGTCCTCCGGCCGCGCACACTTATAGCTCTGGGGAGCGCCGCGCAGCCTGCCCATTGGCCGCGGGGACACGGCTGAGCCCGGATTGGCTGCCGCGGGCTCCAGGTGACCGTGAAGAGGTCAGTCCTGCCCCTGGTAGGTTCCAGAGTCCCTTCCTTGAAGCGCCCTTAGCCATCTCTGGATCTCTGTCACAAACCCCAATCGCTATGGGTAAGACCTGAGTGTAGCTCTCAGAAACTATCAAAGCGCCCTGGCCCACCGAGCTGAACGAGCAGGTCTCTACCACCTACCCTGATTGTGTAAATAACAAGAGAAATTGACGACAGAGCCAGATCTACGGAGTTTAAGGCTATCCTAGGCCTGGCAGGCAGGTACACGAGGGCCCCACGCTGGATTCCCAACTGGTCGCATTTGGATAACCACTAAACATCTCATAGGGAAGGTAAAAGCACTATGGCAGTGTTACATTTCCTGAGTTGACCACGTACTGTGACCCCAGGAAACAATATTTTTAAGAAATAAACACTCAAGCCCGTTGTGGGCAGCGCATGCCTTTAAACCCAGAGAAGGGAGGCAGAGACAGGCAGATCTCTGGGAGTTCGGGTCCAGCCTGGTTTGTAGAGGGAGCTCCAGGTCGGTCAGCGCTACATAAGACCCTATCTTAAACAACAACAACAACACACACATCAAAACAAAACAAAAAACTCACACACACACACACACAACCTGAAAAAAAAAAAGAAATGAAATTCAAGCTCAGGCTTCCTATCTGTGTAGCTTTATAGTACAAACTATAACATTCAGTGAAAATCAGGAAAGCCTACGCTAGTGTTCTTTTGAATTACTTTATGCAATTTGTGTCTCCAGTGGTCTAAGGCATCTTCCACTTATCTGAAATCTGCTCGGAAGAGAGAGTGTGTTGTGTATCTGAGGAGGGGGGTAAGGGAGCAGGGCATGGAGAAGGCAGCAACTGCCAGAGGACACTGAGAGAGGTAACCAAAAGTCCTTCAGAGAAGCTGACTTTCCTCTTGCATTTTACCTAGACATGTTATCCTTTAAAAATGCAAAAACACATAGCTTGAAATAGAAGTTCATAGGAAGTTGCAAAATTAACAACTGTGATGTCCTTCGTGGTAGCATATTTTTATTTTATTTATTGCACGTGTATGTATTCTCTGCATAAATTCCCCTCCCTCCTAGGTCCACATGTAAATGCTATTTCCCAGGGTTGTACTTGGGGAGGTCCTTTGCCCTTTAAGAGATGGAGTCAAATGAGAGGTCCTCAGGTCATGGAGGATGTAAGGATTTTAGAACCCAGTTTCCACTCCTTCTCCTGACCCCAGTGTGTGAATTCTCCCACCAACCCATGCTCCTGTCTTGTGTGTTGCCTTCATCTGAGGCCCCCAAGCCTTGGACTTGAATCTCTAGACTCATGAACTAAAACAATCATCTAATTACCTAACTAATCTGCGTCTGGTATTTGGTTATAGCGACAGAAACCTAGTACAGGAAGTCCCATTTCTCTGCCTGGGAGTGCAGTTGCTTTGTCATGAGGTGAGTGACGCCATGTTCGTTTGGATCACCAACTTGACCAGGGCATTAGTGAGGCTCGCCTTTGGGTGTGCCTGTGAGGGTGTTTGCAGAGAAGGTTAACTGGGGGTGAGGAGGGGGAGATATTTACCCTGAATGTGTGCAGTTCCATTTCTGTGGGTTAAGACAGAATACAAAGGAGGGGGGAGGAGAGTTGTGTCTCCTGGCTGATTGAGAAGTTAGCGCTTGCTCCTCAAATCATGAACCAAAGGAAATCTTTTCCCCCTAAATTACTTCTGTTGGATATTTGGTCACAGTGGTCAGAAAAAAATGGCTGACACAGGAGGGCAAAACAGCTGTGCAGCTCTTCAGTATCTGTGCCGATGCTTCCACACGCAACGGGTGTCAGTTTCTCCGCATCCTCATCAGCATTTGTTGTCCCTACCTCAGCCATTAACATATGTCCAGTGTTGTTTTACTTTAGCTTTGGTTTTGTATTTGCATCTGATGGCTGATGATGTTTAACATCAGCCAGGCTCAGGTCTTCATTGATGAGCCAGTATAAACTTCTAGCCTCAATAAATCCCAGATGGCTCAAGGATGTAAACACAAACAGGCATATGGGGACATTTTTAAAAATCATGCTCATTAAAGAAATACAAATCTGCCGGGTGGTGGCGCATGTCTTTAATCCCAGCACTTTGGAGGCAGAGGCAGTCGGATCTCTGTGAGTTCAAAACCAGCCTGGTCTACAAGAGCTAGTTCCAGGACAGGCTCCAAAGCTACAGAGAAAACCTGTCTCACAAAACCGAGATAGAGAGAAAAAGAGAGAGATGGAGAGAGATGCAAATCAAGGGCTGGAGAGATGGCTCAGTGGTTAAGAGCACTTACTGCTTTTGCAGAGGACTGGAGTTCAATTCCCACACATGTCAGGCAGCTGTAAATTGCCTGCAACATCAGCCTCAGGGGAGCCGATGCCTCTGACCTCTGCAGGCACCTGCATGCACACATATGCAAATATACACATTGTTTTTTTTAAAGTAAAAATCTTTTTTTTTTATAAGAAAGAAGACATGCATATCAAAGCCACATTGATACACTCCTTTCTATTCATCAGACGGAAAGATTTTGTTGTAAAAGTGCCATCAGGACTGTAGTGAACTGCTGTGGACAGAGATAAATTGATCTGCATAATTGGATGGCGACTTGACAGTATCTCCTTCCACACAGCTATTTCAGCTTTTGACCTGGAAACTCATAAATACACAAAGTCCTGACCTGAGAACCTGTTTCTTAGTCCGGTCACAGAGAATCAATTGTGTTTATAAAAAAAGTAGCTACAAGTGATCCATATAATTTACAACCAGATGTAGATAACGAGCATATATTTATTCAGTGGGACAGTTGTGCCTGCTCAGTGGTGTGGAGGCGGGCTGAGAGAAGGAAGAGAGGGAGACTTGAACAGTGTCTGTTTCTTAGTACTCATTTATAGTTCTCAAAAATTACAAGCCTGGTGTTGCAGAGACGGTAGTCAAGAGCATTTGCTGCTCGTATGCAGGACCTATGCTCAGTTCCCAGGACTCACATCAGTGGTCTTTACACCTGTTTGTAATCCAGTTCCTGGGAATCTGATACATACTTCTGGATCTGCAGACACTCAAATACTTGGCATACATACAGAGAGAGGACACACACACACACACACACACACACACACAGAGAGAGACAGAAAGAGAGAGGGAGAGAGAGAGGGAGAGAGAGAGAGACAGAGAGACAGAGACAGAGAGAGAGAATTTTTAAGATTTATAAACCTAGGGGCTGTAGAGATGGCTCAGTATTTAAGAGTGCTCACACCTCTTCCAGAAGACCTACGTTTGGTCCCCATCACCCACACTGGGTGCTTAACCACCTGTAACTCCATCTACAGCATATGCTTACACCTGTAAATAAAAATAAATATTTTTATGAAGTATTAATTTTAAACTTAGGGGTGGAATTGAAGTGAGCTCTCCTCCTGCGCCATGACCTCCGTGGGGTTCAGATGCCCTCATTGTGGGGACCCAGTTCAAAGCACTCTCTCATCATGCCATTTCCTTCCCTTCATGTCTTTTCCTTGGGTTCCACAGGCAGCTCATCTCATTCATTTAGCTATTCGCTCCCTGAGAAGAAACTGGTTCCTCCTACTTGTATCATCACTAAGATCTAGCTTGGCTCTTGGCATACAACAAGCGTTTAATAAAGGCTTTCTATCTGGATGTTCAACATCTGCTATGACCAGGCATCATCTCACTGGCTGGTGGAATTCTCCATTGTGTGCCAAGGCAGATTACAGGAAGATGAGCTGGCTTCATCTCCTTGTTGTGATTGTGCAGCTTAAACTGAGTGAGAATGGCCAAGGGCAACAAAGAAGGCACGAGAGACTCGGGAGGCACAATAATGGGCACCCACAGATGTCCATCTAGGTCCCTTAATCTGTGGGTGTTCTCTGCAGATGACAATCGCCAGACTACAGGCGGAATTAAAGTTGGTATTGAGCTAGTCCTGAAGTGGAACAATTATTCGGGGATGTAAGATGAAGTAGGTAGGGCAGGCAGGCAGAGGAGAAGACAGGGCATCTGAAACAAGGGTAGGGTGACGGGATGTGAGAGAGTCTACTGGCCACAGTCAGATTTGAAGGTGAAGAAGGACATTGGTCTAGGACTATAGTAGCCGCCAGAAGCTGAAGAAATGGCCTGTGGCCTGTAGAGATCCAGTTGGGACTTCTGACTTCTCCGATAATCCATCTGTGCTGTTTATTGGATTGATAACGACCTGAGGGCTCTTTTTCTTTCCTTTCTTTCCTTAAGTTGAAGCATATATTTAGATGCACGGTGCTAGCCTTTCACTGGAACTGCCTTTTATTTGTTGTCTTTCAGCCTTTAGACATATTAAATCCCAGAATCCACTGAACATATTAGAAATGATCTCAGTAGATGCTAGAGATAGGAGACACACTGGAGCCATCAACTTGTGTTCCTATGACAAAACCTCGGGTTCCGAGAGTATATAAAGTATAACCAGGCATGGAGTCTCATGAAACCCCAGCTCGATGATTTCAAACCCTGCCTGCATTATGTCCCTCCTTCCATCCACCCCCAACAGCTTCCAGTTCTGCCTTCCACTGCAGGTGGCACACACAGAGCTGACAGAATTGTCCTGTGCGCGTAATCATTTTTGTTAAGTGCAGGAAGACACACAACCACAGAGATGACTGTTACCAGGAAAACATTTGCATACTCAGATCTTTAGGCTAAGAAAACAGCATCATGCAGGGTCATGGAAGATGTCCCAGTGCTGGGCAAGAGGCAGACAGGGTGCAGAGGAAGCCAGATCTTTATAGTGGTTTACATGGGCAAGAAGGGGGGAGAGGCAGGGCGCCAGTCCTGCAGACCTAAGATAACTGGAATCATTTGGCAGCCTCTGGCTGTGACCCTGGTTGTATGCTGCCAGAGTCTGAGCTGTCTTGGGCCAGGGAGTGTATTGGCTTAGTTTGTGAGAGGTAACGTGTTTGAGACCTTGGACTTGATTCTGGTTGACAGGAATTTGCCAGTCCTGAGCAGTGTCATCCCTCCTCTGCAGAGCCCCAAGTCAAACAATCATAAAACACAGGGCGTAATTTTTTCTTAAAGCCTGATATGTATCGCCCAGCAGGATGGCCCAGTAGGTAAAAATATTTGTTGTGCAATCCTGGTGACCTGAGAGCCTGCATCCACGTAAAGGTGGAAGGAGAGAATCATTTTTACAGAATTGTCCTCTGACCTGCACACATGCACTCACAACAAAAACAGAAAAAGCATGCTGGGTGCCTTGTGTGTCACTGGATGACATTGTTTTCACAGTACATGCTTTCTTGTTAAAATACCTTTCAAGACCTCTGGATTGGGTTTGAGTTGGGGTTTGTACTGGGGAGCCCCTTTGCTCATTCCGAGAGACTAAAGAGGGAAAAAGTAGGGAGAGGAGGGATCCTGGGAGAGAGGACCGAGACAATCCATGAGGGAGTACTCTCAGCTGATCCTACTGAAGCAGGAATGGAGGATCAAGGCTGCCATCAAGGCTGCCTGAGAAATGCCCAGCCCGGCACTGAGATGTTTCTTTCTCTCCTTCCTCTCTCTTCTTCACAACGTTTTCACAAAGCTATCTTCTTTCCCCTTTTTAGTATCCCTACTTCAGACCTCTGTTCCTGTCCTCAGTCCTCACTGAGAGGGGATGTGCTGTGATGTTTCTCTCAGCAGAGACCCTATGTTTCTCAACATAAAAAAATTCTCCTGGCACTGTGCCATCCCACCTGATTTTTTTTCACATCCTGGGGGATGTGGGAGGCAGAGAGCATTTTCCCAGAGTTCTTGGATGCTCAGCAATATTGGCATTGAGACTTGTCCCTTTGTTATTTGAGGGACTGACCTGGAACACTAAATTTTGGGGTCTGCTTCTACTAAAACATTCTTTGACATCAGCATTGAGAGAAGAAAGATTTACAGTTTTAGAGCTGCAAAGCCCAAGACCCCAAGATTTAGGCATTTGGCTGCGATGACTTCTTGCTTATTCATAAGAAGGCAGGTGGTATTGAGAGAAAGGTAAGAAGAAAAAGACAGAGGGAAGGAGCTACCAGCCACCCTTATCAAATCAGGAACCAACTTTTCCATTAACTGTGTTAGCAATCCCTGAGGACTTCTAGAACCTTGTCCTTACTAAAATTCTCACCTCTTTATACTGTTACCATGACAATGACTTTTCAACATGAGGATTTGAAGAGACATCTAAACCATGGTACCCTGAGAGGGCAGAGATAGGACCCTGGCCCTTTACAGCAGCCAATCTCAAAATCCAGGGCCTTATTAGACAACGATTTCTCCTCAGCAGACCTAGGCGGGCATTGTGAGTCTTCATTTCTACAAAGCTTTCAAGCAAGACCCTGGGGCCCCCATCTGTAACCAGTGGAAGCTGAGATCCCTGAGCAGTTAGAGAGGATACAATGTCATTGTGTGTGTGCGTGCGTGCATGCATGCATGCGTGTGGCTACAGTACACTCATACAATGAGCTCCAGACTTCCCACATGCCTGGACCCTTAGCCTCACTCCTGTCCTCACTCCTACCCAGGCTTCCTATCTCACACCTGCCCCAAAGCTCCTCTCTCTCTATCCCAAGACTTTGTGCCTGGGAATGCAGCTGTGCCCACCAGCATTCCCTGCACACCTCTCTGGACGGCCCAGGGGGTCAGCCTTTGGAGAACTTCGGTAGGCAGATAACATCAACCTCATGATGCCCCTCACCTCATCCATGCTCAGCACCCAAGGAAAGCCATGGAGAAGATTTATTAAGCAATAGGAGCCTAAGAGTATTTTGCTACTAGTGCCCTGGTCAGCAGCGCCCCCCCTCCCCCTCTGCAGCTGCTGGGCTGTATCTGCAGAAGTGTCCCTGGTCTCTGACTGGGTGGCCACTCCTGATCTGTTCAACAGCTTAGCAGAGGTCCTCACCTGGGAGACACATTGGGGATGTTTGTCTAGGGGAGGGGCCTTTGACCTTCCCCTAGCACTGACTACCCCTGGCAACTCGATACCTTCCCTCTGCCACTCTCAGTTGTTCTGAGAGTCTCCCATGACACTGAGTTGTCAGAGCCTTGATTGCCCTAGAAGGATGGTAACGATCTTCAGAGGGAAGGTGGTCATCTGAGAAAGTGGCAGAGCTAGTTCTTAGACCTGGGATGGGGAACTGGGGCAATGACACTGTGTGGCTCTGCAGAAAGCTCTACCTGCCTTGAACTAGACAGGACCTAGGGACTCCACGAGAGTATCTGAAAAGAAAGGTCATTTGCTCTAGGGTTGTAATACAATGTCCATCAGATATTTCCCCTAAGTCCACTTTGGATGGTACAGAGTTGGCTCACAAGGCGGTTATGGAAACTGCTGGCAATGAGCTGGGGTTGTGTCTGAGTCAAGGCTTGGCATTCCCAGTGACAGCAGTGGGACAGGCTGGGCCTGGATGGTGTTTGGACAGCTTGGATGGGAAGTGGCCACCAGCGTTGGGGTTGGGTGGAAGGGCAGACCCTCAAGACCACCCAATATCAGTGGCCAGGGCCTGCAAGGCTTTAGGACAGAGGGCACCTTGCATTCTGGTCCGGTGTTTATCCAAGCCCTCCTCCCCCACAGGGAGCTGGAGAAGGGAGAAGGGAGAAGAAACTGAAAGGCACGGGTGTAGACAGGAAGTGTGCAAGATTCCTATTTACACACAGGCAGAGAGGAGACCCCGCACATCATTTTAGAAGTAGGGAAAACGTTCTGAGAGACTTGTCTGAAATCACACACCAGTGACTAAGTCAGAACCTGGCTGTCTTTGTTTCGTTGTTTTTATTTTTTTTAAACCAAAATGTTTTGTTTTCTGTTTGTTCAGTTTTTGTTTTGTGTTGTGTTGTTAGACAGGATCTCACAAAACCCAGGCTGCCTTTGAACTTGTTCTGCAGCTGATTTTGAGCTGACCCTCTTGTTTCCACCTCCAGAATTCTGGGATTACAGGCAAGAACCATCATACCTGCCTCAAATGTTCTCCAAAGAGGAAGAGAGGAGGGAGGGAGGAGGGGGGACAAGGACGCTGAAAAAGGCAAAGATAATTGCTATCATTTAATTTGTTTTTGTTTGTTTGTTTTTAAGGAGGAATAAGTAGAAACTTTTTGGGGCTGGATAGATGGTGCAGTGGTTAAGTGTGCTTGCCAGCCTTCCAGAGGACCTGAAGTTTAGTTCCCAGCACACATGGACAGCTTCTAACTGCCTGGAACTCCAGCTCCAGGGCATCTGGACTTAGAGGGCATCCCAACATGGCAGAGGCTCTCACACATACACACAGAAGTAAAATACTGCAGTCTCAGCTAAAACAATCTTGTCAGGACTTTTTAAGTGTGTGTGTGTGTGTGTGTGTGTGTGAGAGAGAGAGAGAGAGAGAGAGAGAGAGAGAGAGAGAGAGAGAGAGAGGTTGCACACATTCCATGACAACTTTGTGTTGGTGCTGTGAGCAGCTTCCTTGCTGAGTTGTAATTTGAATTGGTCCATATGTGTGGGAAGACCGGTGCTCAGCTAGGCAGTGTTGGGGCGAGTGTGTGTGTGTGTGTGTGCACATGAGCGTGTGTGTACGTGCGTGCATGTGGTGTATGTCATTAAGATGTGGCAAGGTCACTGGTGCTCAGCATGGCAGTGGCGGGGCGTGGGGAGGGTAAAAGGTCACTGGGTTATGCTTTCAAAACAATGAATACTGGTCTCATAGAGTTTGCTTCTGAGAGACAGGTTATGAAAAGCAAATGACCCCCCCACACACACACAGTTTGGCTTCCTCTCTTACTATCAGGCCCCTCCCATGTGGCCATCAATCTCATGATGCAGCCAAGGTAGGGCCTTGCCAGGACAAAGGGGTTACCTGCTGTTGGATTTATTACTTTAAAAATGTGAGCTTTTAATAAATTTTGTTTTACTCCATCTGGGCACAGGCATTTTGCCACAGAAATGAAGAGACCAAATAATTCAGCTACGTCTTGGCGATAGACCTGAGGCAAACTCAATTCACTCAGTGAGGTCCATTCTCCAAGCATCCTAAACTCAGGGGAAGTTAAGCACGTTGAGCCAGAACAGATCAACAGGGAGGGCTTGGTAGGAAGACCCTCTCCCTTGAAGTGCTTTTGAGACTAGAAAAGAGGCAGGGGGAGGGCAGAGTCATTTGCAACACATGCCTTTAATCCTAGCACTGAGGAGGCAGAGGCTGACTGTTCTTTGAAATCTGAACCAGCCTGCTCCAGTGAGTTCTATTCTGAGTTTGTTTTTCAACAGTTGTATTTTCTCTGGTCTTGGTGGTGCCAGCCTGCAGTCTCAGCATTCAAGAAGCTGAGGCAGGAGGTTCAAGAGTTCAAGAGCAGCCCGGGCCATTGTCTCAAGCAAGCCAACAGACCCAAACCAGAATCAAAACCAGCTATATCTTAGACTAAGCACCCACACTTTGTCCTGGACAGAAGACCTACAAACACGTGGCTTTGTAGTCTGGTCTGACACATTTATGAGGGCGACTTTGGATAAATCCTTCACCTTCCTTAATTCTGTCAACTGCAATGATCTTTTTCTCACATGACAGTTACATCTGATTGGACAGCCCGGTTCAGCACCCAGCGCTTTTCCTAGGAACTGTAGTGCCTATGGGATTCTATGTTTGCTGATGGCACTCAGACGCCAGGAAAGGAGTGGATATCACCTGACTAAGAAGACTCGGAAACGGAAACGCTGCTCACAACAAAACAGGGAGACTCTGGTGGAGGTTCAAGGAATGTGGAGCAGTCCCTCATTCCCTGGAGAAAATGGGAGCAATGGCGTCCTCTGGTGGTCATTTAAAGTTCTGCATGCAATGTCAATTTCCTCACTTCCAAAGACTGTTGACCTTGTATGTGACCCTTCCAAGCAGGTTTGGGAGATTGATTCTCAACACAGGTGTCCCTAATCGGGAACCCAAGTCTCAAGGGCATTTGTGATGTCCTATATATATGTCAGACATCTGAAAGAGTCAGTACTTCCTTATTCATCCGACTGTATCCATGAGGCTGTGATGAGATACCACGTTGAGTCAGAAAGTAAGCACCAGATGTAGATCCTTGGCAAGATGACTGTATGGGCTTGGACATTACCCTGAAAGTAAGGACCAGCATCTTTCAATGGTAGTGGGAAGCCTTGGGACTTACTGGAAAGAAGTGGATGTAGACACCTCAACCTGGGCTTCTTCGTGTTGACTCATTTTAATCACCTTGAGCTTGAGTCTGCTGATTTGGGAGCTTGTGTCTTTCACCCTAAGTCCTTGGTCTCTGTGCGGTTTGTGCCCTGTGTTTCCGGAGCCCCTTCTCTTTTCAGGTATCTCCCAGGCCACTTGGACTTGCTTTGTTTTGTAAGTATCTTTTATGTTCGGGTCTGTTGTTTTTCTAATGACATGCCTACCTTCTTCATCCATAAAGATGCCTACCTGTGATCAGTTACTGTAGTAACAGCCACCTTATCAGTGGCTTTAACAAAAGAAGAAAGTTACATTTCCTCTCAGGTAGAAGTTGAGGGCTAAGTGGATACAAGCTGATACAATTCTGTGATGTTAAGTATTAGGCTTCTCCCACCTAATTACTCTTTTAGCATTTAGGATCATTGCTACTGTGCCTGTCATTTCATCAGGATTCCTGCCAGCCACAGGAAGAGGACAGAAGACCCCTTCCACTGAAGGCTGTCTCCTGGAAGGTGCACCCGTTACTTCCACAGACATCTTTTAACTCAGAGCTTTGTGCTTGACCCCTGGTGCCTGCACAGGAGGCTGGGAGAACACCATCTTCAGCTGAGAGGAGGTGTGCTAGACTAAAATTCAGTTGCTGAAGAAGGAAGGAGAGGAACGGTGGGTGCTAGCTCGACCTCTCTGCCACCTGTGTTCCCACTGAAAGTGCCTATCTAAGAACCAGTGTCACCAGTGAGCTAGAGTTAAGTGTATCCTCCCCCATGTCCTTGTGATGTTTGCAGCCTCTTTTCTTACGGTTTCCTCGGCATCTTGAGAACAGAACTCTGTTTTATGCACTCTTGTCTTTCTCATTGTTCTACCCCCCTTTTTTGGTACAGGAGAAAGTGTGTTAAACTTAGCAGTGGGTCCCTTGTGAATACACGAGCGTGATTGTGCAGGTGCCCTTACATGTGTGGATGCGAGTGCATGTGTGTGAAGCCTAGAGTCGATGCCAACTGCTTTAGTCACTCGAAACTTTTGTGTTGTGAGTCAGGGTCTCTCACTGAAGCTGGTTCATCCATTCACGTTAGCTGCCTGGGTGAAGAGCTCCAGGGACTCGGCTGTCTCCTCCATTCCCAGCACTCAGGTAACAGATTTATGCCATCATACTGGCTTCCTGTGCAGTCGCTAGGTCTCTGAACTCAGGTTCTTGTGCTGGTACGGCAGGTGCTTTGCCCACTGAAACATGTTGCCAGACCTTAAGGGTACTTTTGAATGAGAGTAGTCTTAGTCTCCTTCCCTGGAACGCTCAGTGGAGTATTCCTTAATTCTTGCTATCTGAACTTGACCCACAGGAGAGCAGCCAGAGGGATGAAATGAGACACTTTCTTCCTGTCTATGTCTGTGGTCCCTGAATGACACAAACTGTTGGCTGTCACAACAAGAAAGGGGGTTCTTCTACAGGATTTTGACTCCCCAAGTCAAAGCCTGAAAAACCTTGTGGAGATATGTAAGAAACCTAAACAGCAACAACTTACTTCTTGATCCATGTAACAATCAGTAAATAGAACCCAGAGTCCCAGCTTCTGGACAGGCCTAAGGTGGAGATGCACTGCCCAGACCAGACCTTCTTTGTTTAGAAAAGACAGACATCAGACATAAAGGGTGACTCTCAGGGCTTTGAGAACAGTAAAGCACACTGAGATAGACCTCTCTGGGGACTGCGGAGATGAGGCCTGGGGGTTGGGTTGGGGTGGGGTACGGAAGGACAACAGACAGGAGCCATGATGAAAAGTTTGGCTTACTAAAGACCTTGTTTAGTATTCCATTATCCTGGGCTGCATGTTTCAGGCAATTAGGCTGGGCTGGTGACAGGTTGAGGCAGAAGTCACCGAGGCATGGTAGGGAGGAGGCAGGCTGGCCTGAGACCTGTTTCAGAGGCCAACCCCTGAGACTGAGACAGCTCTCCAAGGCTCCAGCCAGCCGCTGAGCAGATCTTGTCTCCCTTACCCTGGAATCTGGACAGCAGCACGGAGATCTACCTTTCTTTCCCTCAGGTTGATGCTGAGGGTTGGGAGGTGCTACATGGACCTGAATGGAATCTGGAGGAAGGGAAAACTCCTCAACCCCCCAAATACACACTTTCAGCTTTCTCCCTGCTGTTGGAGGAGGTGTGGTTAAGGAACTTGGTGGGCGTGGGGTGAAAAGTCCCACATGCTGGCCACTGAATGTAAGATCGGCGTCCCTGGAGGTTCAGAATGAAAATCTTCAAGTGGAGCTTGCCCTGGCACCCGGAGGTGCAGTGGTACCACTCCCACCCAACGCCACCCTACCCTCTCTGTACTTTTTATCTTACCTGTTAGCGTTGTGTGCCTGGGGCTTACAGAAGTCATAAAAGGGCATTGGATCCCCTGGAACTGTAGTTAAAAATGCTTGTGGCTGCTAGAAACCGAACCAGGGTCTTTGCAAGAGCAGCAAGAGCTCTCAACTGCTGGTCCATCTCTCCAGCCCCTCTGTGCTAACAACAACAGCAGCAGCAATAAAACACCCCAAAGAAACTCAAAAGAAAACAGGGTCTCATGCATCCCAAACTGGCCTCTCAATCACTAGATAGTCAAGGATTACTAAGAAGTTTTGAACTTTAGATCTTGTATCTCCTGAGTGAGGAGATTACATGTAGGCTTGAGCCACCATGCCTTGAACTCAGGGCTTGATGCGTGTTATGTGAGTACCCAGTCACACCCCCAGCCTTAGAGTTTTAACATATAATTTTTTAACCAGTTCTTGGTTTTCATTTTCTTAATGAATACTGGGTGGTTGACCACACAGGACTTCATCTGTCTCCCACTGAGCTCACCCCTAGACTTTATTTATCCCCTTTTGATGCTTTCCAAAAACCTATCTTCTGTAGTTTTTACTTGTAGCATAGAGAAAACAAAGTTCCTTGAGAGTTACGGAGCTGGTAGGAATTTTTTGAAGTAGCTACTCACAAAGCCACAGGACCAAGAGCAGAGGGCCAGGGGCATAGTTACAGTAATCGATAACTCATAGTTACAGTAATCAATAACTCATAGTGTGACGGTCACTTCTGGGGCCCTTGCACACATCTTCATGAATGGGGGTAGTCATCCTTCTGGGGCCCTTGCACACGTCTTCATGAATGGGGGTAGTCACCCTTCATGGTCTTTGTGAATTGGTTCTAGGAAATCCCCCTTCCTCCTTAGATGCCAAAATCCATGGATGTCAGATATTTTTATTAAAGCAGCCCAGTGTTTGCACAGACACACATACCATTCTGTATCTACTAGGTGTCTCTAGGTAACAGAGGGTACTCACTACAATACTTAGATATTTCAAATGTAGAGACACAGCACAGTATTTAAGGGCAGGCAACTCTCACTTTTTGGAACTGTTGGAGTTTTTCCAAGTATTTAAATACCTAACATTGAATCTGTGAATAGAGAGGGGTCAGCTTGCCTGTATCTGATGGAGAAGGTGAGTCCTGTGAGAAACGATGAAGTAGTTTACAAGGGTAGACCAGTGGTGGGTGGGTATTCATTCCATCAATAGAAATCTAGCACAGGGATTGTGTCTCAATGGTAGAGCACTTGCCTGGCATGTGTGAGGTCCTGAGTTCATCCATAATCACACACACACACACATACACAGAGAGAGAGACAGACAGACAGACAGAGCAGCACACACACAAATATAGTTATACACATGCACACACACAACTGCTCACCAATGACTAGAAGCCCAGCAGCAGGTGGATCATTGCCCAGCAAGTTACAGTAGCAAGAAGAGACAAATCTCAGCTGTAGATTACAGTTGTGCCCATGAGAAAAGACACCACTAAAGCAGTGTTACTGGCCCAGCTATACCTGATCTATACATTAAAGTACATATACCTAGTGCCTTCTAATGCAGCACGACAACATACCTAAGTTACATGCAACAGCCTGTATGAATCCCCATGCCCGTGGAATAAAGGAGGCCAGTCACAAAAGAATCCATGCAGGCTGATCCCCAGTACCCTTCCAAACAAGACACAACTGAAGGGAACATCTGTACCACCAGGTCCATAATAAGAAGCCTGAAAATCTTTATCTCAGCGTCTGGGACCTCCTCTGGGGGATGGGTGGGGGTAAGGGGAGGGGTTGCATTTTTGGAGGATGTGGGGAGCTGAGCTGCAGGAGGGCACCCAGTGGATGCTTGGGTGACACACAGAGAGCCACACAAAGTTAGAATGATGGCCGCAGAGTTCCAGCTTCTTAGTGTTACAGAGGGAGAGACTAAGGCCAGAGAGGTTAGAAGGCTGACCCAACATCACAGAGCATGCTCCTAACTAAACTAGGGTCAGAGTGATAACAATTCCCTCACTACCACCCTCTGAAGGGGAGGGCTGAGGGGCGCTGATTTTAAGCCCAATCCCTTTCTTTTCCAGGAAAGGAAAAGAGTCAGTCATTGACATAAGGAGGGCATGAATGCTGGGAATTCTACTTTCCAAATGGAAGTTTTAAAAGATTTAAATATACCCTCCAACTCAGAATGATGACGGTGGTGGTGGTGATGATGATGATGATAACATTACAAAAGTAAATGCCTCAAGTCTCCCACAACTCCTGTCTAGACTCTATTTGGTACACAGCCTGGGAACCAGTGGGCTTAAGGGGGGGATGGGCCAGCAGATGAAGGATCAGGAGCCACAAAGTCTGCAAGTGTGTTGACTCACCCACCTGGCCTAGGTGAAGCCCCTGGGCCTGGGACAGCCAGGACAGGAACCTCTGCTATCTCTCTGAGAGCTTTTTGTTTTGTTTAGAGGTCAATTACTTCCCATTTGGGGGACTTGTGAACATTAAGAGGTGACTGGAGTGAAGGGTCTGAAGGATGCAGATAAGGCTAGGGCTGTGTGCAGAGCGGCTCCCTCCCCAGTAAAAGCCCTGTGAGGATGAGTGAGGGGCTCACAGAGTGGGCAGATTTTAGCACTGGACAGATTACTGGGAAGACTGACAGCTGGGGGTTGGGGCTTCCAAGGCTGGGGTGTGTGTGCGGGTGCTTTTCACAGCAGCTGTTGGGCACAGAAGAGAATTTTCCTTGCTCCTCTTTCCTCAAGAAATCTTTGGTGTGCTGAGAAACCCAGACTTACTGTCAGGAGTTGCCTTCTGGGATGCGTGTGAATGGGTTCTGTCATTGTGAGTTTTTATGTTGGAGGTTAGTCAGATAGGGGTGTCAGCAGTCTGGGGGGGCGGGGCAACAAAAGATGAAGCTCCATCAGTCTGTGTGTCCTATGCTTTCCTCAAGCTTGTTTGCCCCAAGCTTGGTTGCAGCATGGCGCTGTGAAAGAAAAGGGAGGCTGCTCAGTGGAACTTCAGTGAATTGCCTGTAACTCCCAAACTCCCAAATGCATGCCATGATGTGTGGCTCAGACCCCTGGGACAGGACTGTGACCCCAGTATTGGGACCTCTGCTTGTCTCCATAGCAAAGACATGAGCCTCTGTGGGAGAAACAGATCCTTCCCACACTCATCACCAAAGCCACCCAACTCTCTCCAAGCGTCCCCTGACATCGTCCCCAGCAGGGTTTTCTTCTTCCTGGAGCTTTTGTCTGTCCTGACACACAGTATACACCACCCTCTATTTTTCAGACACCTTTCTCGAATTGCCTTTCCCTAGCTTAGATAATAAAGCCCTGAAGGGTGGCAGCTGTATCTCATTTGCTCCTGCACTCCTACCGGGAAGGTACAGGTACAATGACCCAGCGTGGCAGACCTGAGCCTGCCTGCCTGTCACTCAGAGAGCTCCCATCCCCTTGGCTTTCTTCCAAGCTTCCCCCTAGGTGGGATGGCCTGGACTAACTTGGCTTAATCTAGGAGCCAGGACCTATCCAGAACACAACACACTGTTGCTTCTATGACTTTTCTAGGCCAAAAGGGTAGGAAAGGCATAACATTTATCAATTTCTTACTGTTCCAAAGATCTAGAACACAGTACTATCTGAGGTAGAGCCTGTTCCAGGGAGCTTGAGGGGGGGGGGGCTTCTAAGGAAAACCTGATAGGCTTCAGTGGCAACTTTGGATTGAAAGATGCCAATCCTGACTTTGGGAGCCCATTCTACATGGAGGGATGCTCTCTCAGCCTGGACACATGGGGGAGGGCCTAGGCCCCAGCCTGGATGATATGGCAGACTTTGGAGATGCCCCATGAAAGGTCTCACCCTCCCTGGAGAGTTGAGTAGGGATTGGATGGGGGGTTGGGGGGCTGAAGGGGGAGGGGAGGGAGAGGGAGCTGGGATTGACATGTGAAGGAAGCTTGTTTCTAATTTAAATAAATAAATGTGAAAGATGTCAATCCTGATGCAGCATTAGTGTCCAAATGCCCCCCCCTTTGATAAGCACACCCTTCAAAGTGAGAGTTAGGAGACCCCTCTGATGATTCTCACAGTACAGAAGGTTTAGCTGAGTCTTTAGTCTAGCTGAGGAAATCTCTTGAGATTTTCAAATCTGAAATACGTGTACATTTTAAAAACTATTTTATTTAGACCTGCACTCCCCTCCTAGCCAAAGATAGCCCATTGCCTCTGTTTCTGTTTCCCCCTCCAGAGCTGGAGTTGTAAGCCTGTGTCACTGCGCTCAGGCTCTGCAGTAGTGGGGATCCAGCTCAGGGTCTCCTACACGCAAAGCCAACAACCAATCCAGCCGCATCTGCAGCCAGTATTCCACACTCTTTTGTCTTTTTAAGTCCCAGGGGCACAACAATAAGAGGGCGCTGATGCACTTCCAAATAGACTTTTATTAACAGCGGAGAAATGAAAAATAAGAGGAAGAGAACAAAGGGAAAGTATGAGGAAGTGATACTGAACCATAGAGCTGCTTCTGGGAATAAAGGTGCTAAGTCAAGCCTGAAGACCCACAGGGTAAAAGGGGAGAGGGTCTGCTTCACTTTGTCCTCTCTCTGCCATCACCATGGCAAGGCGTGCACCTCCTTCCTCCCCCAGTGAATAAATGTTAAAAAGAGAAATTGGTAGTGGATTTTAAAAAGGAATAGTGGCTTGGGTTTCCCTAGAATAGGCATCTAACTCTTAACGATGCAAGCTGCCAACCACTGAGCATCTTTCAGAGAAGATCAAACCGGCCCCTTCCTCGCTCCCTCACTGGAGCATGTTGTCCAGGGAAAATGGCAGGGAGTCCCCTATAGTTAAATATGGGAACCTGTTCAACAGAATTCAGCTGAGGGTTAGAGAATTCTCAGAGTTGCAAATGAAGTTCAACAAAACTGACATCACATTTTTCCTACCTAATACCCTGCTGTTTGTCCTGCCAAAGCTAAATTCCTATTTGACCCCGTACTCCCATTAATGGAGTTCATTTTCAGTTTTCCAGTCGGATGATTTAAGATGGGGGAGTGTAAAGTTTTCACAATTTTGAAGATCCCACAGTTAAAGTTTCTGCTATCTTTTTAGATTTACCTGGGGTGGAGAGGGCTATTTTCCTGACGGGGGACTTAAAATGTCCCCTTTTATTTTGCTTTGGATACAGGACTCCTTATGTAGACTAGGTTGTTCCTTGGATTCCCCGATCCTCCCGCTTGGGTTTCCTGAATGCTGGGATTACAGGTGTAGGCCTTCCTGCCCTCTGAGAACCTATCAGGGTCCTGGTGCCTATAACAGGCACGTCCACCGAATATAGTTAGCTCATTACAGCTCATTTGCTCGTCCAGCGGTTCCCTGCACAAAACGCAGTTGCTGAGAGCAGAGTCCCTCAGCGGCAAGTGAGATCACCGCTAGGGAAAGTGCTTGCCAACGGATCTTCTGGGAGGTTCAGGGTGCACAAACTGTAAATCCTATCTGGGGCGCTTCCAGGCTCGTCTTCTGGCATCTTCAGCGGCGATGTAACATTTCTATTTTCTCAACTCCGCATCCCGTCTACCCGTGCGCTTGTTCCTTTAAGGGATGGAGTGAGGACAGCCTTGACCCAGGCCTCCAGAATGCTTGCAATTGTTTTAAGGGGGTTGTGGCTCAGAGTCACCTGTTTCCAAATTGTCAGTCATCATACTATTCTCTGCATAGCATCTAGGTGGTCAGCCAAATAGCGGTTATATCTCCGAGGGAAAGAATGTTCTCAGAGCCAGCCGGTGACCGCTCCTCTGGGCAGTTCAGTCCTGAGATCAGTAAGGTGGGCAGTACCAGGCCGACCGCCGCTTTCCATCCCCTTGGCGAAGCTCAACTCCACCAGGCACCAAACTGAGTAGCTGAGCCCCGGCTATTCACCAGGCCGTGACTCCCTGTAGCGTGGTGGGAAGATGGCCCTGCGGGGCAGCACTCGGGCTACCTGGGCTGAAACCAGAGCTGGCTAGGGGTGGGAGTGGCCCGGAGCCGGCGCCCGTGTAGTGGCCTGCGTAGCTAGCACTATAGGGAGTGCCCGAGTAGCCCCCGAAACAAGAATGGGGCGTGTAGGGACCCGGGAACACGGGGGCTTCGGGACCCAGACAAGGCTTGCCGTCCAGCACTAGGACGGGCACTGCCACTCGGCGCGGTGTTAGCTGGTGGCCCGCCAGTTCCAGGGTTTGGTCCTGGCGCTGCCTCTTGCACTTGTAGCGCCTGTTTTGGAACCAGATCTTGACCTGCGTGGACGTGAGCTGCAGCGCGCTGGCCAGGTGCTCGCGCTCGGGCGCAGACAGGTACCGCTGCTGCCGGAAGCGCCGCTCCAGGGCCAGCACTTGGGCCTGCGAGAACAGCACGCGGGGCTTCCGCCGCTGCCGCGTCCTGGCGAACTCCGGGTGTACATTGTCGCTGCCGTTGCCCACACCGCGCTCCATCCTCGGGTTCCCAGCTCCAAGCGGGGCGATCGCGCGCGGAGGAGTCTCTAAAACCACATGGAAGAAACACCATCAACAGCCAGCAACAGGCTCGGGTTGGGGTTGTTTTCACTAGCTAGCCCTTACCCGTTTCCTTTTGTCCTCACCCTCCTCTACCCGCCTCCCTGGTGGGTCTGGTGGTCTATTTCTCAGATCTCTGTCGCGTTTGTACCTGCCACAGCCTGGGTAGAGTCGGATATTCTGGGAGCCCCTGTGTACGCATCTTTTCGCCAATGGAAAATTTCGGATCAGGTGTGCCTATTTTTCTTGAATTGTGTCTGGTAGTCCAACAGTTTGAGAAATCTTACAACGTGAGTGTGCGGGCCTGTCAGAATGGCGCTGGACCTTAAACTTTACAAGCACGATGCTCTGCAGTGCAAATTAAGAACAAGTTATTGATATTTCCCGAGCAGATTAAAAGTCAGATATTTCCTGGTCCCGAGGGTTGGAAATAGAGGTTCTCTTTGATGTGTGAAATTGGGATCCATATTTTGACTTTTTGATAAGCAGTCCCTTCCTCGTTAGGTCTTTTTGACAAGCAGGTGGTCCTGTGGTTAAGTTGTAGTGTTTCCTTCAGCTGGGGTGTGACTATACCCCAGCCCGCCTAGATGTAGCCTCTTCCACTGCTTCCCACTCCTCTTGTCTTTGTTTAAGATCCCGTAGGTCCCCAAGAAGGGTGGAGAGGAAACTCAGAGGCGGAAAAATTCGGGGACATCGAAGGGAACATCTAAGGGCACAAAGATGGCCAGGCCAGTGTCCGGATGGCTTGGGTTGAGATCCTGACTTGCATCCCCTAGACCGGGGTTCCCCTCTGGGTAGCCGACAGCTGTTTCAGGAGATGAAATCGAAGACACCCAAAGTGGGAAAACCGGAGGGTTTGTTTCCTTTAAAAAATCTAAAGGAGACCGACCTCCAGCGATGCTGAAGAGCCAGCCAGAGACGCCAATTGAAAGCAGCTGACTCAGCAAAGGCCTTCCAATCGCTTTAAGTTCCTAAATTCGGGTCAGCCTGATCTACATAGCCAACTCCAGGCCGGCAGAATTTCAAAGTCCCCATCAGGAAAAGAGCTCCCCCCACCTCCGTAAATCCAAAAAGACTGTAGAAACCTTAACTGTAGATCTCTAAAATTATGAAAATTTTACTCTCTCAATCTGAAGTTATTCAAATTGAGGACTGGAAATACATTCGATTTTATTGGGAACCCCGGGTCAGATGGAACTTCGCTCTGGTAGGACAAACACCAGGGGACTGAACACAAATTGGGATTTGACTTACTTGAATTTCATTTTTAGACGGTGAAAATTATCTCACCCCCGACCAACTGATACACTAAAGGTTAAATTCAATTTAGTGAGATCCTGTCTCAAATAATCCCAAACCCAAATAAATAAGTTGAAAGGTAAGAGTTAGCACCCTGTACCCTCTTAGTCACAGCTGGAGAGCTCTGAGCCCTGCTTTCAAGAAGCCAAGAGGTTCTGATGGGGACACATGTCACATGTTGTGGTGAAGTCTACCAGATGGCCCAGTCCCCTGACAGTCCTCAGGGACAGGCTGGGGTGGGCCCTGTGCGGCTATCACAGGCAGAAGACAGGCTGCCAGTCAAGGGACATACATCCACCCAGGTGTGCCTGTGGCTGAGACAGCCGGGCAAAATCACCTTAGCCCTTTCTCAGCAAAGCTGAAAGGAACTTCAAGCTAGCAGACCCTTACCCAGGGAACTTGTTCCTCCTCTCCCAATTTTTCTACAGAGAAGCGTGTGTGTGTGTGTGTGTGTGTGTGTGTGTGTGTGTGTGTGTGTGTGTGTGTGTGTGCGCGCGCGCGCGCGTTCAGATAAATCAACATACCCGATGTTGTTTCCCTCTAGAAAGGTTTGGTCTAGGCAGGCAAGGGCAGTAAGTTATGGTAAAGAGGTTTGGTGGGGAAACTAGGCTCCACTGCAATCATGTCTTTGTGGTTAGCAGAGGGGCAGCTGCAGGAAGGAACACCCTACGATTCAAGTCCTTAGGAGGCAGGACTAGGAACAGGGAGGCTATCTTTCGGACTCCTAAATAAAATGAGGGAAGATAGGGTGGGACCCCAGCAGATGCCATTTCTCCATCAGTGACGCCTGTAGGAAAGACCTGTGCTTACTCACCTGGCTCCGTCTCCACGACTGTCTCCCAGGGGCACCGAAGAGGGTCTGATCTAGCGTGGGCCCTGTCGCCGCTCCCTGTCCCTCCGGATTCCGGGTCCATTGTTAGGTACTGAGGCTTTTCGGGGTTCCTATGCAAGTCCCATTGTGATGGAGTCTTGGGGTCATTCTGCTCATGCTCCAGCCTGAGGATGTCGTCTACGGAGAAGGGGGTGGAGGTGACAGGGCTCAGCAGCATCTGGGAAGTCCAGGGGGTGGAGCTGACAAGTTCTCAACTTCTGTCAGACGTGGCAACCCCTAACTCCCCCTTTTGTGATGGCAGGCCTAAGCGACTCCCGGAGGCACACTCACGGTCCAGGCCCGCGCCTTCCTTTGGCCTTGTCTGCAGGCTGGAGGACCAGGACTGGGTGATAAAATTGCGGTCCTCCATTGGTTCCCACAGAAACCACGTGCTAACCCTGCACTTTCCTCCCCAAGCGCAGGCTTTTGGGCCCTTCTGCTCGTCCCCTTTATGGGAGGGTTGGTCCCCATTGACAATCAAAAGCAAAGGGCGTGGCCTATATCTCAAGAGGGAGCAACCCGGAGCTCCTGAGGGCTCCGGACCTGAATGGCACTAGCGCTGAGTTTCAGAACAATCAATCCATCGGTTTTCCAGTAAACGTTCTCAAGGCAAAGGAAAAACCGAGGGATAGGGAACTGGAGAGCCCCCAGGATACGAGAAGCGAGCGCGGGGTGGGGGCTCTCAGTTGGTGCTAGGCCAGATTCCTTCTGGGGACACTACGGGCCGACAAAGCCAGAGGAGCAAGTCCAGTAATCGCTGCGTGGACTTGTCACTTAACAGGGAAGGGAAATTCAGGCGCGGAGGCTGTGTTGGGCGGGTACTCTGGTCATCTTTGAGTATTTCTGGAGTGGTTGGGAAGTAAGGTAAGCTCCTGCCCCGTCTCCCGGCCCCCCTACGCGCCCCGCCCACCCCGCTTCTCCTTTTCCCTGTCTTAAAGTTTGTCTTGAGCAAGCGTGTATAAGTGGGAGCTGTTGCCCGGTCTTAAGTCTCCAGAACAGCTCCTTGGACACAGCTTGAGCAGAGTGTACAGTGTGTCTTCGTGGTGTGCGATGCAGGAACCCGGAGAGAATGGGTAGCTATGACCATGGCTGTGAAACACAACGTGTGGGGTTTGGGACAAAGGGCGAACCTCTCTTACACTTCGTTTTCCTGAGGTAAAGGCAAAGATGCATCGTCGGTTGGAGGAATAAGCAGGACACTGTGTAAGTGAGAATCTCCCAGCCGCCATGGCTCAAGCTAATGAGTTCAAGAAACCGGGGCTAGTTGTTGCGTTCCCAACACAGGATTTTAAAATATCTTTTAAAACAAAAGATCATCTCACTAGAGATGTAAGGGAATTTCAGATCAAATGTTTTTTAAACCTCATGAAAATTCACGGTTACACGACAGGTTTAGATGCTATTTCCTGGAATCCCGATGAAAACCCACCTCCCCTTCTCTGGTCAGAAAGCACAAAAATTTAAAAACAAAATTATTTATTGGAAAAGGGGTCTGCAAGACCAGGTATGGGGATCAGAGGGCAATTTGAGGGCGTCGGTGGGTCCCAGGGGTCCATCAAAATCTCTAGTCTCCCAGGTCTAGAGCACACAATTTTGTAATACAAACACTTCACGAAAAATTTCAGCAGATTTGATTTTTTTGCGACTAAGTAACAATTTCATATACATATCATGTAATCTTTATGAAGAAGCTATATGCTTCCAGATTTTTTTCTAGTGAGAAACGCGGTAGGGAGAGCTGCAGCAGGGGAGGTTCCCCCTTCTTACTGGAAGATGTGCCCATAGTGTTTCCCCCAAATAGACTAATACTCCCCACCTTTCGCCCTCAAGGGTCTCAAATTTTGTGATAACCCAAACAAAATTTTATACTTTATCTTGTTTTCGTTTTTTTCTGATCATAAAAATTATTATGGACACTTTGGAAAAGTGGGAAAAAGGATTGAAAAACATCCACCCAAATAACGGTCTTTTAAATATTTGCTTGTGTTTAAATTTACACATCTGTTTATTAGTTTTTCTGAGTGTGATTCAAAGTCACAATAAAATGTCCTATATTACAGATGGATCTCAACAGAATGAGTTCATAATTTTAGATAGTCTCTGTTTTTCTAATCACCGTAAACAAGGCTTTGTCTTCGTAGAAGCTTTATTCCTTTATTATCTATTATATATCCTCGGTATACATTCGTAGAGGGAACATTGATGACGTATTTTTAACGCAAATTAAAAATTCCTCCTGAAACTTCCTTGGAAAATTGTGCTGTTCCGCCCAGTTCCCGGAGGTGCTGGGGAAAGGCGTCGATGGGTGTTTCTTCAAGCGTACCTCTGATGGCCCGAGGAATACTTGGGATTTTGAGGGCTGCGGACAGGAGCTCTGCCCAGGCGTTCCAGATATGCTGAGCTGGATCCCTGCTTTCCCAGGTCTAGGGCGACCTTAGATAAAACTCTAAAGCTTGATTAAGAAATCTACAAGAAAAAGATGCCCTGGGCAGGACTTGAGATTTACAGCCAAATACTCTGCCTTCCTAGTTTAATAAGATCTTCACATGCTGTTTGAAACGTGAAAACGCTTTCTAGCCGCTCACAAATGAAAAACATCCCTGTCCTAATCCGGGCTTAAGAGGTAAGAGCACAGACCAGGGGAGAAATCCCTAACCCGCTTCCAAACCCTCGCCAGGTGCCTGGAGAATGACCAGCCTTGTGCAGTGGTGCAGCCAGGCTCAAGAATTCGCAAAGAGGTGTTTTATATTCAGCTCTTTTTCACTGGAGGTTCGCTGGTCATCACCTCTCCCTGTTCAGGGCAGGAGGTTTGGAGCCCAACGACAATTAGGGCCATTTCGCACCTGGCCCCCCCCCCCGCCTCACCCCACCAGAAGCGAAGGGTTGGAGACTTCTGCTGTGTTCTTTTTGTTGGGGGGGAGGAAGGAGGTTCGAGATGGTTCCTTGAGTAGCTCTGACTGTTCTGGAACTTGTAGACCAGGCTTGCCTCGAACTCACAGAAATTCTCCTGTCTCTGCCTCCTGAGTGCTGGAGTTAAAGGCCTGAGCCACCACCTCCTGACTGGTCTCACTTGTGTTCCTAAAGTGGGAAAGGGATGGCTTTGTCCTAGGAGTGGAATGGATGTGACCTGCTCCACCCAGATCACACAAGATAAAACTCAAACCAAAAGCTTAGGTTGGTTGCAGATTTTGAGTGCCTTCCTGGGCCTTTTCTGCTGCAACTTGCATTCTTTCAGGGAATTATTGTTATTATTATTATTATTATTTATTGAGAGGAAAAGTTTGCTGTTTTGTTCAGACTAGTCTTGAATTCTTGTGCTCCACGTCTCTTCGGTCTTCCCTCCTAGAGTAACTGGGACAACAGGTGCATCCCTTTGGCTGAAATAGAAGACAGAATGAATCCAAAAATGTGTTGTTTTTCATCACTATATGGAATTTGTACACAATATTGAAGTTCTCACCCATGAATAAACAGTCTTTTTCAACTTCCTTCTTCCCTCTTACTTCTTTTTCTCTTCTATTCTAGGAAACTGAACCTTCTATCCCTGAAGACACTTTCAAATACAACCCACAAAAGTTAGTGTCTAGTGATCCTTCTAACATGGGCTAGCCTGGGCTTACACGGAACCAATGACTTTTGATCTATGGGTAGGAACTTGATTGAGATAGATGACACAGGTCTCATGAGTCTGTTCTTACAGCTTTGTCCTCGGTATGTGAGCTGGAACTAGCACACTGTGAATATCTGTTGTATAAAGGTGTCTACTGTGTTTGGCTGGTGACAATTCCTAGGTTGCCCTGGGGAGCAGCCCCCCACCTGGAGAGAATGAATTACTCCTTGCTGACACTCTGCTTTGCTGTGCGTGGTTCCTTTTGCCAAAATCTGTCTCCCAGTGCTAAAATAATATGATTATTTTATTATGTGAAACATTGAAATAGTTTTAAAGCCAATTGTGCACCAAAATGTCCTTGAAGAGGTGGCACTACATTTCTGTCTTCTCTGTTCCTATTCCCCTTTCTTTGAGGTTAGTACAGTCTCGGATTCATTGATTTACCTTTTCCACACTTGTTTTGATATTGTTAAACACAGGAACAAGTGCACATGTGTTTTCCTATTTTTTAATCCTCTCATGTATTTTCTTGTAAAGGCATTGCTAGTGCAATAGCGATGGGGTGTTTTGTGTCAAAGCTGCCCTAATAGGGTTGCTGCTTCAGAGCATGTTCTGGTTGCAACCACCGTGCTGGTGTGGTATGCTCTTACCTGTCTCTCTTTTGTCCAAAGTAAGTTATTCTACAGTTACTTAGGATTTGGAGGCTCTCTTCCTCCTCCTCTTCCCTCCTCCTCCTCACCTTCCCCAACTCCTACTTCTCTTCCTCCTGTCTCTGGCTGCAGATTTTCACATAATATTCACAAGCTATATATTGTAATTTACAGGCAAATCATCTAAACCAACCTGGTGAGTTTTCTCATCAATGGCCTCAGGTTAGGTCCCTATCTTGCAGGGATATCTTGTAGAGAACACAGAGGTGACTTAGTATCTAGCTACGGAACAGCTGAGGAAGATCAGAATCCAGGTTATCTCACTTCCAGTCTCTTCCACCATAGCTCTACTTCACCAACACAAGGCTCCACAGCCTCCCATCACCAACACAGGACTCCACAGTCCCACACCACCAACACAAGACTACAGCCCACACCACCAACACAAAACCACAGCCCCACATCAACAGCTAAAACCTCCTTTCACCTCTACTGTCCCTGCTCTTATTTCAGTTACTTCCAGACAAAGATTTGAAAAATGCCTGGAACCCATTTGGGAAGCAGACTTGGACTATTTTGCATATACTTCCTTTTTATTTTTTAAATTTAGTACACATGTACACCTCACCTCTAAGAATAACTCAGTCTAACAGCTATTCCAAGTAAACAGAGGAGGAATCTAGAGACATAATGATCATGATGCCTGTTTGGTATATTTTATTATATTGTGCTTGTTCCTAAGAAATACCTTGGGAATTTTGCTGATCCACAGACAGATGTGAGACTATTATTTTAACACATTCACAATTATTCCATTACATCTAATAGGTATTTCTTGAGCACCCGTTGCATATGGAAAAGGTGATATGTGGATGCTTTTAACAGGTAAAGAAATATAACACAGAGATGCTAAGCATA